GAGACACACAACATAAACACACAGACAGAGACAGAGAGATACACAACATAGACACACAGACAGACAGAGACACAGAGAGAGACACACAACATAGACAGACAGACAGAGACACAGAGAGAGACACACAACATAGATACACAGAAAGACACACAAGCAGAGAGTGATAACACAGAGACACACAGAGAGAGACGCACAACATAGACACACAGACAGACAGAGACACAGAGAGATACAACATAGACACACAGAGAGACACACAGGCAAAAAGAGACACACATAGACACGCAGACAGACAGAGAGACACAAAAGCAGAGAGTGATAACACAGAGACACACAACATAGACACACAGACAGACACACAAGCAAAGAGAGACACACATAGACACACAGACAGACACACAAGCAGAGAGTGATAACACAGAGACACACAGAGAGACACACAACATAGACACACAGACAGAGACACAGAGAGACACAACATAGACACACAGTAAGACACACAAGCAGAGAGTGATAACACAGAGACACACAGAGAGAGACACAACATAGACACACAGACAGACACACAGGCAAAAAGAGACACACATAGACACACAGACAGACAAACAGACAGACGCAAAAGCAGAGAGTCATAACACAGAGACACACAGAGACACAACATAGACACACAGACAGACACACAAGCAGAGTGATAACACAGAGACACACAGAGAGAGACACACAACATGATGGTCTAGATGATGGTCTAGATGATTGTCTAGATGATGGTCTAGATGATTGTCTAGATGATTGTCTAGATGATGGTCTAGATGATGGTCTAGATTATCATCTAGATGATGGTCTAGATGATTGTCTAGATGACTGTCTAGATGATTGTCTAGATAATTGTCTAGATGATTGTCTAGATGATTGTCTATAGGATTGTCTAGATGATGGTCTAGATGATTGTCTAGATAATTGTCTAGATGATGGTCTAGATGATGGTCTAGATGATGGTCTAGATAATTGTTTAGATGATTGTCTAGATGATGGTCTAGATGATTGTCTAGATGATGGTCTAGATGATTGTCTAAATGATGGTCTAGATGATTGTCTAGAGGATTGTCTAGATGATTGTCTAGATGATGGTCTAGATGATTGTCTAGATGATTGTCTAGATGATGGTCTAGATAATTGTCTAGATGATGGTCTAGATGATGGTCTAGATGATCATCTAGATGATGGTATAGATGATTGTCTAGATGATTGTCTAGATGATGGTCTAGATGATTGTCTAGATGATTTTCTAGATGATTGTCTAGATGATTGTCTAGATTATGGTCTAGATGATTGTCTAGATGATGGTCTAGATGATTGTCTAGATGATTGTCTAGATGATGGTCTAGATGATTGTCTAGATGATTGTCTAGATGATTGTTTAGATAATTGTCTACATGATGGTCTAGATGATTGTCTAGATAATTGTCTAGGTGATTGTCTAGATGATTGTCTAGATGATTGTCTAGATGATGGTCTAGATGATTGTCTAGATGATGGTCTAGACGATGGTCTAGATGATTGTCTAGATGATTGTCTAGATGATTGTCTAGATGATCGTCTAGATGATTGTCTAGATGATTGTCTAGATGATTGTCTAGATGATTGTCTAGATGGTTGTCTAGATGATGGTCTAGATGTTTGTCTAGATGATGGTCTAGATGATTGTCTAGATAATTGTCTAGATGATGGTCTAGATGATGGTCTAGATGATTGTCTAGATGACTGTCTAGATGACTGTTTAGATGACTGTCTAGATGATTGTCTAGATGATTGTCTAGATAATTGTCTAGATGATGGTCTAGATGATAGTCTAGATGATTGTCTAGATGATGGTCTAGATGATTGTCTAGATGATTGTCTAGATGATTGTCTAGATGATGGTCTAGATTATTGTCTAGATGATTGTCTAGATGATTGTCTAGATGATTGTCTAGATGATTGTCTAGATGATTGTCTAGATGATTGTCTAGATAATTGTCTAGATAATTGTCTAAATGATGGTCTAGATAATTGTCTAGATAATTGTCTAGATGATCGTCTAGATAATTGTCTAGATGATTGTCTAGATGATTGTCTAGATGATTGTCTAGATAATTGTCTAGATGATGGTCTAGATGATGGTCTAGATAATTGTCTAGATAATTGTCTAGATAATTGTCTAGATGATGGTCTAGATAATTGTCTAGATGATGGTCTAGATGATTGTCTAGATGATTGTCTAGATGATGGTCTAGATGATTGTCTCGATGATGGTCTAGATGATTGTCTAGATTATGGTCTAGATGATGGTCTAGATGATGGTCTAGATGATGGTCTAGATGATTGTCTAGATGATTGTCTAGATGATGGTCTAGATGATTGTCTAGATGATTGTCTAGATGATCGTCTAGATAATGATCTAGATGATTGTCTAGATGATGGTCTAGATGATGGTCTAGATAATTATCTAGATAATTGTCTAGATGATGGTCTAGATGATGGTCTAGATGATGATCTAGATGATTGTCTAGATGATTGTCTAGATGATGGTCTAGATGATTGTCTAGATGATGATCTAGATGATTGTCTAGATGATGGTCTAGATGATGGTCTAGATAATTATCTAGATAATTGTCTAGATGATTGTCTAGATACTTGTCTAGATGATTGTCTAGATGATTGTCTAGATGATTGTCTAGATGATTGTCTAGATGATTGTCTAGATGATGGTCTAGATAATTGTCTAGATAATTGTCTAGATGATTGTCTAGATAATTGCCGCTCGTCTCGGAGGCGAATTTGAGGGCGGTCGCGAGGGGCCCTGTCTTCGTAGGCCTCGATGGAGACTTTGGCGGAGGGCCCGGCAGCTGCTCCAGGCGATCCTGGGCGAGTTGCTGCTGCTGCTGTGGCTGTGGCTGGTGATGTTGGCACGCGAGGGGTCAGCCGGCCCCATCACGACCAGCAGTGGCTACTTGGGCATGGGATGCCATGGTGCACTGTGTGTGTGCCAGATGGCTATCCTTACACAATCTTCATTTGAAGCTTTGGTGACTGCAGGAATCCATTACTCTTTGGTTCTTTCGGTAAAGTCCACGTAGGTGGAAAATAAAATAAATAATTTCACTGCGAAGGAGGGTGTCGAGGCGGGGGGGGGTTGAGAGATTGTTGCTGTGTTGTGAGGAAGAAAAGAGAGACGAAATGAAACGTATTCTTGGTTCTTTCGGTAAAGTCACCACGTAAGAAGGGAAACAATAAAATAATAAAAATATTAAACGATAAAATTCTCACGACGTTTCGACTGCAACAGAAGCAATCATCTCTACTCTAGACTCCTCCGACCCTCTCTCCTCTCTAGACACCTCCCACTCTTATTCTTAGCTCTTTCGGTAAACGTGACTTTACCGAAAGAGCTAAGAATATGAATTACTGCAGTCACGAAAGCTTTAAATCAAAATTTAAATCCTCCCACTCTATCTAGACTCCTCCCACTCTCTAGACTCCTCCCACTCTCTCTCCTCTCTAGACTCCTCCCACTCTCTCTAGACTCCTCCCACTCTCTCTCTAGACTCCTCCCACTCTCTCTAGACTCCTCCCACCACTCTCTAGACTCCTCCCACTCTACTCTCCCACTCTCTCTCTACTCTCTAGACTCCTCCCACTCTCTAGACTCCTCCCACTCTCTCTAGACTCCTCCCACTCTCTCTAGACTCCTCCCACTCTAGACTCCTCCCACTCTCTCTAGACTCCTCCTACTCTCTCTACTCTCTAGACTCCTCCCACTCTCTCTCTCTAGACGCCTCCCACCACTCTCTAGACTCCTCCCACTCTCTCTACTCTCCCACTCTCTCTACTCTCTAGACTCCTCCCACTCTCTAGACTCCTCCCACTCGCTCTACACTCCTCCCACTCTAGATGCCTCCCACTCTCTCTCTACTCTCTAGACTCCTCCCACTCTAGACTCCTGATGATGATTGCTTGTGTTGCAGTCGAAACGTCGTGAGAATTGTATTGTTTTATATTTTTTATTATTTTATTTATTTCCCTTCTTACGTGGTGGTGACTTTACCGAAAGAACCAAGAATATGAATCCCTGCAGTCACGAAAGCTTTAAATAAATAAAAATACAATGAAACGTGTTTGAGAAGTGAGAAAATCAATGTGAAAAAGCACACCACATACCCGCATGAATCATCTACACAGCGCAGTAGCAGCACAGTAGAAACACGTGGGGACAATGAAACACGTGGGGACAATGAAACACGTGGGGACAATGAAACACGTGGGGACAATGAAACACAAAACCCTGCAAGTGAAAGTGTCACAGCACACAACACACAGGGAGAGGGAAGCCGGCACAGATCGTGAGAACTAACAAAACAAGTAAGAAATAATGGGAGAGTTGAGATTTAGAGCTCCTCCACCTCCTACTCCACCTCCACCCCCTTCCTACTCCACCTCCTACTCCACCTCCTCCTACTCTACCTCCTCCTCCACCTACTCCACCTCCTACTCCTACTCCACCTCCTCCACCTCTTACTCTACCTCCTCCACCTCCTACTCCACCTCCTCCTACTCCTCCTCCACCTACTCCATCTCCTCCACCTTCTCCTCCTCCTACTCCACCTCCTCCACCTTCACCTCCTACTCCACCTCCTACTTCTCCTACTCCACCTCCTACTCCACCTTCACCTCCTCCTTCACCTCCTCCTCCTACTCCACCTCCACCTCCTACTCCTCCTCCACCTCCTACTCCACCTTCACCTCCTACTCCACCTCCTCCAACTCTACTTCCTCCACCTCCTACTCCACCTTCACCTCCTACTCCACCTCCTCCAACTCTACTTCCTCCACCTCCTACTCCACCTTCACCTCCTCCTACTCCACCTCCTCCTACACCACCTTCACCTCCTCCTCCTACTCCATTGCCTCCTGATAATGTTGATGTTGTTGATGTTTTTGTTTCATTCTTCGCCTGCCCACAGGGATCTTCCGACATCAGCACGACAGGCGAAGACGCTGACGTCAGAGGTAGGAGCCTTCATAGACAAAGACACAGGTCCCCCAGGTAGCCTCTAGCAGGGCTGTAGGGGCAAGTGCAGTTACACACAGAGATACAGACACACACAGACACAACAACAACAACCACCATTCGCCACGACGCTTGTGCCAGGCCATGTGCACCTTGAGGCCACGTGAAGTGTCGAACGCCCGCTGGCAGGAGGTCACGAGGCAGACCCAAGTGCCACGGGTCGACTGACTGAGACGACTGGCTGATGCACCAACTTGCCCCCTACTGTGCCACCTTGCTGTGCTTTAGCCACCCGGCGCTCCGCTCGTTGTTGTGAGCGTCGCTCCTTCGTCCTCCGGAGGAGGGCGACTGCCTCCAACTGCCCAGTAGCGTCCTTCATGAGCCTCCTCCTCCACAGAGGCCGATCTTGACACCGCTGGTACCAGTCATCGGTAAGTCCACTCAGCTCCACATCCTCCTGTACCACATCACTCCATCTGTTCTCTAGCCCGTGCCACGCCCGTTTAGCCCCCCACATTACTTAACATCTATTATGACCAAGTAGTTCGTGAAGCCTTCTGTAGCTGTACCGGAGGAATTTCCATCTGGTACAGATACATTGGGAGGCTGATTGATGCACGGGTGCGGTCAAGGGATGGCTCCCTATTGGTCAACCACGTTATGTACAGTATGCCGATGATCTGGTGATAGCTGCTCACTCAGAGGAGGAGTTGGAGGTGCTGCTGATGAGACTGGAGCTTGCCACTAATAGGTGGGGCCTTACCATCAGCCCCACCAAAACTCGGACCTGCCTTGGTATTTTATACCATCGGACACTCCACCCCCACAACTTCCAATTGTTGATGGGCAGTTGTGGAGAGATTGGAAAGTTTCCCATACCTGGGCAGTGTGCTCATGACCGGCTCTGGTTTAACAACGGAGGTCTCACTCAGAATCAGTCGAGCGGCAGTATCGGTTGCGTAAAGCTGTGTGGAAGCTACCTGGTCTGTCGCTCCGCACTAAGCTTCAGGTCTTCTCGGCCACGGTCATTCCCTCCCTTCTCTACACTTGCGAAACGTGGACCCCCCTAATGGAGCATCTTCGCCGGTTAGAAACATTTAGGCTAGCCTGCCTACGATCCATCCTGGGTGTGACCAGGCTGAATTGTGTGTGGAGCTCACAAATCCTCAAATGATCTGGGCAAAGTCCCATCGGTGAGCACCTCCGGCAGGCAAGGCTGCGTTGGCTGGGTCATGTAACTCGCATGCCCAGCCACTGCATGCCTAAACAGCTTTTGTTCGGCCGGATCGAGGGGGTTAAACGGGCACGGCATGGGCTAGAGAAGAGGTGGAGTGATGTGGTACAGGAGGACGTGGAGCTGAGTGGATTTGCCGATGAATGGTACCAGCGGTGCCAAGATCGGCCTCTGTAGAGGAGGAGGCTCGTGAAAGACGCTACTCGGCAGTTGGAGGCAGTCGCCCTCCAACAACAATGGAGGGCGGAGGAGCGACGCTCACAACAATGAGCGGAGCGCCGGGTGGGTAAAGCACAGCAGGTTGGCACAGTAGGGGGCACAGGTGGTGCATCAGCCACTCATCTCAGTCAGTCGACTCATGGCACCTGCTGGGTCTGCCCCGTGACCTCCTGCCAGCGGGCGTTCGACACTTCACGTGGCCTCAAGGTGCACATGGCCTGGCACAAGCGTCGTGGTGATGTCAACTCCACTTAGTGGCGAAAGGCGGTTGTTGTTGTTGTTGTGTCTGATTGGCCAAAGTGATGAAGCGATCCAAGACCATCATTGGCCTGTGGAACCCGATGGGCGGGGCCTCGCAGACGCCAGCCAATCAGACAGCGGCGACGGCCGTGGCACTGCCCTCGCCTCCAGCCAGCAAAGCTGAAGACACAAATTGTAAGTTCCAAAATGACTCCCTGTGTCAGCTACACACTACACTATACACTACACTATACACTACACTATACACTACATTTTACACTACACTACACTATACACTACACTATACACTACACACACACTACACTACACTATACACTACACACACACTACATTATACACTACACACAAACACTACACACTACTACACTACACACTACACTACACACAAACACTACGCACACTTCACTACACACAAACACTACACACACTACACTACACACTACACTATACACTACGCTATACACTACACACACACAGACACACACACAGACACACACACAGACAGACACACACACAGACACACACACAGACAACAACAACAATAACCGCCATTCGCCACTAAGTGGCGGTGACGTCACCACGACGCTTGTGCCAGGCCATGTGCACATTGAGGCCACGTGGAGTGTCGAACGCCCGCTGGCAGGAGGTCACGGGGCAGACCCAGGTGCCACGAGTCGACTGACTGAGATGACTGGCTGATGCACCGTCTGTGCCCCCTACTGTGCCAACCTGCTGTGCTTTAGCCACCCGGTGCTCCGCTCGTTGTTGTGAGCGTCGCTCTTCCACCCTCCGTTGTTGTTGGAGGGTGACTGCCTCTAACTGCCCAGTAGCCTCCTTCACGAGTCTCCTCCATAGAGGCCGATCTTGACACCGCTGGTATCAGTCATCGGCAAGTCCACGCAGCTCCACGTCCTCCTGTACCACATCACTCCATCTCTTCTCTAGCCCGTGCCGTGCCCGTTTATCCCTCTCGATCCGGCTGAACAAAAGCTGTTTCGGCATGCGGTGGCTGGGCATGCGGGCTACATGACCCAGCCAACGCAGCCTTGCCTGCCGGAGGAGCTCACCGATGGGACCTTGCCCAGATCTTTCAAGGGTTTGTGAGCTCCTCACACAATCCAGCCTGGTTTAACCCAGGATGGATCGTAGGCAGGCTAGCCTAAATTTTCTAACTGGTGAAGATGTTCCATTAGGGGGGTCCACGTTTCGCAAGCGTAGAGAAGGGAGGGAATGACCGTGGCCGAGAAGACCTGAAGCTTAGTGCGGAGCGACAGACCAGGTAGCTTCCACACAGCGTTACGCAACCGCTGAAAAGATATTGCCGCTCGACTGATTCGGAGTGAGACCTCTGCTGTTAAACCGGAGCCGGTCATGAGCACACTGCCCAGGTATGGGAAACTCTCCACTCTCTCTACAACTGCCCCATCACCGATTGGAAGTTGTGGGGGTGGAGTCTTCGATCGTACAAAATACCCAGGCAGGTGCTTAGTTTTGGTGGGGCTGATGGTAAGGCCCCATCTCTTAGTGGCATGCTCCAGTCTCAGCAGCAGCGTCTCCAACTCCTCCTCTGAATGAGCAGTTATTACCAAATCATCGGCATACATAACGTGGTTGAGTAATAGGGAGCCATCCCTTGACCGCACCCGGGCATAATGCAGTGTATAGTAGTGTCGTGTGTTATGTGTGTTATGTAGTGTATAGTAGTGTATAATGCAGTTTGTAGTGTATAGTGTAGTGTATAATGTAGTGTATAGTAGTGTATAGTGTAGTGCATAGTAGTGTAGTGTATAGTGTAGTGTATAGTAGTGTAGTGTATAGTGTAGTGTATTGTAGTGTATAGTAGTGTATAGTGTAGTGTATGGTGTAGTGCATAGTAGTGTAGTGTATAATGCAGCGTACAGTGTATATTAGTGTAGTGTATAGTGTAGTGTATAGTAGTGTATAGTGTAGTGTATAGTAGTGTAGTGTATAGTAGTGTATAGTAGTGTAGTGTATAATGCAGCGTACAGTGTATATTAGTGTAGCGTATAGTGTAGTGTATAATGTAGTGTATAGTAGTGTAGTGTATAGTGTATAGTGTAGTGTATATTGTAGTGTATAGTAGTGTAGTGTATAATGCAGCATATAGTGTATAGTGTTATATAAACACCTAACTCACTACGCAGTGTTCCAGGGAGAGAGTGGAGCGTCGTTTTATCTCGCCGGGCAGATCGCCGGGCCCGTGAGGAGGGGGGGTTTGGGGGGGATGTGGGCGGGGTGTGGGGGGGGGGGTGTGGGGGGGTTCGAATCGGAATGGTCACAGATTCCACCACCCCCCTTCTTTGACTCGTTTGGTTATTTCTGGAAGCCAATTCGGGTCCCAGGGACTCTGTTCTGGACGGCTCTCTTCTAGTTACATACACGGGAGGCAGGGCGGGAGGGGAGGGAGCTTCCTCGGCTTGGGCTGACACCCGATACGTCGGGCAGGGTGTCGGTGGCTCCGCTGCACTGGCGCCTTGCGGCAGCAAGGGCAGCTGGGTTCGATTCCAGAATTTGGTGTGTGTCTGTGTGTGTGTCTGTGTGTGTGTGTCTGTGTGTGTCTGTGTGTGTATCTGTGTGTGTATCTGTGTGTCTGTGTGTGTGTGTAGTGTGTGTGTCTGTGTGTGTTTGTTTTTCTGTGTGTGTGTCTGGTTGTGTCTGTGTGTGTGTCTGTGTGTGTCTGTGTGTGTGTGTCTGTGTGTCTGTGTGTGTCTGTGTGTGTGTCTGTGTGTGTGTGTGTGTCTGTGTGTGTGTGTCTGTGTGTCTGTCTGTCTGTCTGTGTGTGCGTCTGTGTGTGTCTGTGTGTGTGTCTGTGTGTGTCTGTGTGTGTGTGTCTGTGTGTCTGTGTGTCTGTGTGTGTCTGTGTGTGTGTCTGTGTGTGTGTGTCTGTGTGTCTGTGTGTGTGTGTCTGTGTGTCTGTCTGTGTGTGTGTTTGTGTGTGTGTCTGTATGTCTGTATGTGTGTGTGTCTGTGTGTGTGTCTGTGTGTGTGTATGTCTGTGTGTGTCTTTGTGTCTGTGCGTGTGTGTCTGTGTGAGCTCCTCCGGCAGGCAAGGCTGCGTTGGCTGGGTCATGTAGCCCGCATGCCCAGTCACCGCATGCCGAAACAGCTTTTGGTCGGCCGGATCGAGGGGGCTAAACGGGCGCGGCACGGCTAGAGAAGAGATGGAGTGATGTGGTACAGGAGGACGTGGAGCTGAGTGGACTTGCCGATGACTGGTACCAGCGGTGTCAAGATCGGCCTCTGTGGAGGAGGCTCATGAAGGACGCTACTGGGCAGTTGGAGGTAGTCGCCCTCCAACAACAACGGAGGGCGGAGGAGCGACGCTCACAACAACGAGCGGAGCGCCGGGTGGCTAAGGCACAGCAGGTTGGCACAGTAGGGGGCACAGGTGGTGCATCAGCCACTCATCTCAGTCATCTCAGTCAGTCGACCCGTGGCACCTGGGTCTGCCCCGTGACCTCCTGCCAGCGGGCGTTCGACACTTCACGTGGCCTCAAGGTGCACATGGCCTGGCACAAGCGTCGTGGTGACGTCACCGCCACTTACTGGCGAATGGCGGTTGTTGTTGTTGTTGTTGTGTGTCTGTCTACGTGGCCGGGACTCAGAGCCATTCCCTGTACACCTTGGGGTGCGACAGGGATGTCCTCTGGCTCCCACATTATTTAACATCTATTTTGACCACGTAGTTCGTGAAGCCTTCAATAGCTGTACCAGGGGAATCTCCATTTGGTACAGATAAAATGGAAGGCTGATCGATGCCCGGGTGCGGTCGAGGGATGGCTCCCTATTGCTCAACCACGTTATGTATGCTGATGATTTAGTAATAGCTGCTCATTCAGAGGAGGAGTTGGAGATGCTGCTGCTGAGGCTGGAGCGTGCCACTAAGAAATGGGGCCTTACCATCAGCCCCACCAAAACTAAGCACCTCCCTGGGTATTTTGTACCATCGGACACTCCACCCCCACAACTCCCAATCGGTGATGGGACAGTTGTGGAGAGAGTGGAGAGTTTCCCATACCTGGGCGGTGTGCTTATGACTGCCTCCAGTTTAACAGCAGAGGTCTCACTCCGAATCAGTCGAGCGGCAATATCTTTTCATCGGTTGCGTAACGCTGTGTGGAAGCTACCTGGTCTTTCGCTCCGTCTTCTCGGCCACGGTCATTCTCTCCCTTCTCTACGCTTGCGAAACGTGGACCCCCCTAATGGAACATCTTCGCCGGTTAGAAACATTTTGGCTGGCCTGCCTACGATCCATCCTGGGTTTAACCAGACTGGATTGTGTGAGGAGCTCACAAATCCTTGAAAGATCTGGGCAGGGTCCCATCGGTGAGCTCCTCCGGCAGGCAAGGCTGCGATGGCTGGGTCATGTAGCCCACATGCCCAGTCACCGCATACCGAAACAGCTTTTGTTTGGCCGGATTGAGGGGGCTAAGCGGGCGTGGCACGGGCTAGAGAAGAGATGGAGTGATGTGGTACAGGAGGACGTGGAGCTGAGTGGACTTGCCGATGACTGGTACCAGCGGTGTCAAGATCAGCCTCTGTGGAGGAGGCTCGTGAAGGATGCTACTGGGCAGTTGGAGGCAGTCGCCCTCCAACAACAACGGAGGACGGAGGAGCGACGCTCAGAACAACAAGCGGAGCGCCGGGTGGCTAAAGCACAGCAGGTTGGCACAGTAGGGGGCACAGGTGGTGCATCAGCCAGTCATCTCAGTCAGTCGACCCGTGGCACCTGGGTCTGCCCCGTGACCTCCTGCCAGCGGGCGTTTGACACTTCACGTGGCCTCAGGGTGCACATATCCTGGCACAAGCGTCGTGGTGACGTCACCGCCACTTAGTGGCGAATGGCGGTTGTTGTTGTACGTGTGTGTGGCACAAGCGTCGTGGTGACGTCACCGCCACTTAGTGGCGAATGACGGTTGTTGTTGTATGTGTGTGTGTATGTGTGTGTGTATGTTTATGTGTGTGTGTTTATGTGTGTGCGTGTGTGTGTACGTGTGTGTGTACATGTGTGTGTATGTTTGTGTGTGTATGTGTGTGTATGTGTGTATGTTTATGTGTGTGTATGTATGTGTGTATGTTTACGTGTGTATGTGTGTGTACGTGTGTGTGTGTACGTGTGTGTGTACGTGTGTATGTGTGTATGTATGTGTGTA